CTTCTACATTTAAGTTATAACCATCACTCCGATTGCGCAAGGTCGGACAATTCTGGTTTTGTTGATAACTCTATTTTTTGTTTTTGATTTTAATGCGAGAGAGAAACAGTGAGCTAAAAGGACAGAGAATACACATACAGAGACAGACACACTCACATATGACCTTAACTAATCAAATCACTATACTTGATCAAAGAGGCCAGATGTAGAGTATATATACCATTTTTTAGAGATTTGCCGGTGAGTTTTCTTGATTCATTAGCTTGAATTTTGTTGTGACGATGTTACCTCGCCGTAATTCCCAGCATCAGACGGTGGATTTGGTACATTCTCAAACGCTTCGCCGATATCATAGTCGGTATCATCACTGAAACAGGGAGAACAATAAGCATACAAATCAAGAAACGTCAAAGGCTCTGCAGGAAAATGGATAGCGAAAATCAGAACTAGCGGAGCACCTTGCGCGGACTGGACACGAAATCAATTGGAAGGCAAGAGAAAGAAGAGCCCCATATGGTGAAAACACAAGGACGAGAAAGATTAGGGAGGCCATTGAAATCCTTGGGGAGAAAAATCTAATGAACAGGAGATTGGAGGAAGGTAGATTTAGCGATAACTTTGCCTACTGCTTAAGCAAACTCGGGAAAAATAAGAATAGAGCAAGACCAGCAAAATGGAGACACCTGGCTAAAGGATCTATCGCTAATCGGAGGAAAAGGGATCGAGATGAGGAAAGTGGGGGGTGGGGGGTTTCGGCAATCAGGCCACACTAGATTTGCAACAGGACACATTTTGACGAGTGGAATGTAAACAAATGAGAAGTTGTGATAGGGCGGGAGTAGGCTCGAAAATAGTTTTGATTCTCAGATCACGCTCATTTCAAGAGTAAAGGGTGGATAGATAGGCAATAATAGAAAAAGTAATGATAGTGTCGATGGATTGACCTCACTTGTCTCTGACGTGTTCGCAGCTTGATGCGGAGAATGGCAAAAATCACTGATGATGCCGGTGAAACGTTTGAGAATAAACCAAGTCCACTGTCCGATGCTGGGAATTATGACAACTACAATGGTATAGGAATTCGGACTAGGTGCGTTCTACTAAATCGCCCTGACAACAAGACCAAGTTGCGACAACGAGCTCAACCCACTTGTATAAAACAACCAACACACTTAAAAAAAGAATCAGTGTAGATAGTCAAGTGGAAATTACGTGTGGCTATGGGCTAGGATTAGAGAGAGATGGGGGAACAAGAAGTAGCATCGAGCAAGAGGAAGCTTGAGTAGGCTCGAAAATAGTTTTGATTCTCAGATCACGCTCATTTCAAGAGCAATGCATTCACACAACACACCTGCAATGGAACACAATCGTACGTGGTAACATTGCAGAATCAAAGGTATAAGTATTTTAGGCAAGAATGCAACTTTTCGGTCACAGTCGCATCCGTTTCACGCCTCATCTGCCGCAACTTAATTTAATTTTTCAGCAAACATTCAGGTAACCCATAGGATATCCAAATAAATCATGAATCAGGCCAGCTTTACTGTCTCCGTGTTTTAGTAAAGTATCGTTAAGAATGATGTCCGTCACATGACGGATGAAAGCTCAACACGGATGGATCGGGTTCGCAGGAAAATGAGCCTTCTCCTTCGCGTAATACAATAGTCACAGGTCCAAGGCAACCCTTCTTCGGCATCCAATGAAGCGAATTTACGGATCCCTTTCACCCATCTTATCAAACGAGATGAAAGGTCTGCCAACATCAATCTATTAAGAAATTCTTCGAAACTCAGCTTCTCTTCATGCGAATATAATTTGTTTGTCTTCAGGACAATGCCCTTCGGCTTAAATCAAACGCCCAACGCTATTTAGAGTTTCCGATACCCTTGAGGATTTCAGTAGGCTAGATATTGTTGCGCTTATCTTGCTGCCTATACTTCAAGAACGATATATCATTTCAAAATATCCAAACTTAACACTACAGAGAGATAAGTGATGTCGAATTACAGAGTTCATTTTATTAAAAGATGGCCATTTGGTGTCTCAAGCGAATGAAAGCTCGTCAATATTAAGCAGGTCCGCCAGCAAGTATATAAAACACCAAATAATTGAGAAAAGATCTTCAGAAAATTACCGATAAATCCGATAGTTCTTCCTAGTACAAAGAGTCCATTAAGGGTGCCAATATGGAAGT